CAGCTCCTCATGGGATTTTTCCCTGAAATTGGGATTTTGGGTGATGGATCTGGACCCTGCAGGATGCAGATCCCCAAGGGGTTTTTCCCCTAAAATTGGGATATCAGACAGCGGATCCTGGGAATTTTGGGATCAGTGGCATGGCTCTGGGCTTGCTGTGGGGGCAGCCTGGGGATGACCCATCCCTGCCCCAGAGGGGTTTGTTCTGCACCGGAGGGGGCTTTGCCTGGCGGGGAGGGCAGGAGGGGTTTGGGGGAGCCTTTCCCCCCCTCCCGTCGTGATCCGGGCACGGTGGGTGACAGCTGGGGGTGGCAGAGGGGACAGCAGAGTCCCCGTGTCCTGCAGCCCTGGCAGCCCGAGCTCTGAGCTATCCCAATCCATCTCCATCCTCATTCCCGACCGGACAGAGGCAGGAGGTTGTGCTAGATCTGCTTCAGGTTTTATTTCTGGTGTCCTCTCTCATTCCCTGGACCCGTCTGTGCCCCGTGTCTCTAAGTTCTCCTCTCTCCCCGCTTTTTCCATCTTTACAGCATCGAATCCAAGCATTTTAACCAAATTTCGCAGAGAAACGGCATTTGGGGTTGCCCCCTCCCTTTCCTAAACCCCTCTCCCGCTTGGCCGCAATTCCCTGAGCGTGATCCCGAGGGAAACCAACCCCAGCCGAGGGGAAACTCCGCCGCTTTCACTTTTCCTTGGGAATCCCCTCCTGCCTGCGGGAAGCGGCGCTGGGAAGGGCAGAGGGAGCGTCCCGGGTGCCGCATCCCCGCTCCTCCCGCGGGGATCCCGGAGCGGCTCCTGCGCTCTCCTCCTCCCCGGGACACAGCCCCGGCTCCAAGGCGATGTCAGCACCGGCAGCTGGCTGAAAAAAATGCGAATTGCAGCTCGCAGAAGGAGCGGCTGACACCGAGCAATGAAAAGCGGGATGTCCCGGGGAGCGGGGCTGCGCCGTGGGGCGGCTCGGAAAACTTTCTCCCTCTTTAATGTGATTTATCAGCGCTCATTTCCACCTCCCCGCGAACTGGTGGAAAAACCCGACTCCTCCCGGCACTGCACAGGGCTCAGCCTCGCTATCCGGGATTTCTGCTGGAATTCGGGGGGCTCTACCGGTGTCCCCCACCCCACAGCCGCCTCAAACCTGCCCTGCAGCATCGCCAGAGCTCCCCCGGCTCATCATTTCCCTCCCCAGCCTCCTGCTCTGCTCTCCAGCACGGGCTGAGAGCATTTCCAGCGTTTTCCCCTCCCTGGGGGTCTCCCCGCCGAGCTCGGGGGTGGGCAGGGGGCCGGAGCTGGGCTTTGTCCGGTGCAGCCCAAATCCCTCAGAACCCACACAAAATCAGCCAGAGCCGGGATGGCAGGGCCGGGGCAGGAGCTTTTTGCTCTTTTGGGGTTTTTGTGAGGAAGGAATCCCCGGGATGCTCCCGCTGGGAAGGTGGAGGCGGCTCTGGAGAAGAGGAGAGAGGGGAGCTGAGCACGGCTGGGATGGAAATGGGGCCGTGCTGGGCTCAGCTCTGATCCTGCAGGGATCCCTTCCCGCTGGGATCTGCTCCCAGTGCTCCCAGTGCTCCCAGTGCTCCCAGTGCTCCCAGTGCGGTGGGATGAGCAAGGTCCCTCCTGGCCCTGCAGGGTCAGGCAATGTCTGTCCTCATTTCCCAGCCCACCCCACCCACACGAGCGTTGGAAAGACATTTCTGGATGGAATTGTTGGAACTGCACCCGCTGAGCTCTCCCTGGAGCTCCTTCCTCACCCTTAAACCAGGTTTTATCTTTTTTGTTCTTTTATGTTGGTTTTATTGGGTTTGTTCTTTTATCCCAAAAAAAGCAGCCAGGCCAAAACTTGCGGCGGGCAAAGTCCGAGCGGGGCAGGGGAAAGAGAAATGTCCGGGATCAAAGAGTTCCCACACGGCACAGCAGAGAGCCACTGACCCCAATTAATGCTCAGAGTTAATGAATCCCTCCGGGATCACTTCACTGAGGTGCGGAGGGTTTGTGGTGGGGCCGGGAGCTCTGGGTGCTCTGGGATCGCTGTCCCATGCTCTGGATGGGATCAGGGAAGGTTTTCCAGCCGGGAAAAGATTCCAGGGGGGATAAAATCTCCGCCTGACTCCTGGAAGTGAGCCCTGAAGCAGGCAGGTCAGAGCAGAGCCAGCAGGGTTTGGGGACAGCCAGAGCTCAGGTGTCACCTCTGGGGTCACACCCTGCCCTGGCCAGTCTGGATTTGTCCATCTCCAATCCCATTTATTCCCTGGCTCTGCTTTCTCCAGGTGCCCCAGGGTGGCCCCGTGCCGGCTGCAGCTCCGGGGGGAATTGGGGACAAGTTGGGACATTTTTACAGGAGTTTTCCCAGTTTTTGCAGGGGACTGCTGCGGGGATTTGTGTCCCCAGGGAGCTCTGCGGTGACAGCAGCGCTGGGGGAGGTGACAAAGCCTGAGCTGCTGCAGAGCCCGGCAGGGCAGGGCTGGAGCAGGGATTTATTTGGGAGGGGTTTGATGGGCAAATCAAAGCTGGGCTGAGCCGGGGGGTCATTCTGTCCTGGGGAGGGACAGGGGACAAGGATCGGCTCCTGGGGGAGCTGGGGGCTCTGGGAGGGTTGCAGCAGTTTTTAAAGGAGGATCTGAAAGCCCCAAGCTTTGGTGTCGCTCCTTTCTGCTCAGCACCCCCAAACCCGGGCAGACGGCCCAGGGGAGAGCAGAGCCAGCAGGATTTGGGGACAGACAGAGCTCAGGTGTCACCTCTGGGGTCACACCCTGCCCTGGCCAGTCTGGATTTGTCCATCTCCAATCCCATTTATTCCCTGGCTCTGCTTTTCCTGGGATGGCCGAGTTTGGGATAAAGGAATGGGAACAGCCCAACCCTCCCGTGTCCCCTGGAGGCTGATAACAAACCCTGAGAATAAATCCCACACCTGGGGCAGGTGGAACTTTTAATACAATGTATATTTATTGCAAACAATAATATACAAAAAAAAAACAACCCAAAACAAAACAAAAAAAAAGGTAAGTTTCACAAAGAGAAGGATCTTGCAACCAAAACCAAACCAAACTTACCTAAAGACAAAATATGATTTAAAGGACAGGTCTTTTAAGTTACAGAAATACTTTAAAAAGATCTGCTTTTATACAGAAATAGAAAGATGCCATATTATAAGAGTGCTTTAAGATTTTTTTTTCTCCTACTGAATCCCTAAAAAAAAAAAAAAACAGTTAACAAATATATCATTATTTTTTTTTTTTAAATAAAAAAAGTCTGCTGTCTTTTTTAAAAAGCAATCCTTAACTGTTCAGCCACAGCTTCACCAAAATCAGTGTCCCCCCCACCTCTCCCAGGCAGTTTTTTGGGGGGGTTGAAGGCTAAAACGGTGCCACCCCTGCAGCAGGGCTGGGGTGTGGGGCTCGTCCTTGCACGAGCTCGTGTGTCCCAGAGAGCTGAGGCAGGAAACAAGGCAAATGATTCAGTGATCCGCTACATTTGCAATCTTTAGTTTGTACAAATCTCATTTTTCTTTTTTTTCTTTTTTTTTTTTCTTCCTTCTTCCAGTTTCTCCTCCTCCGAGGCAAGAGACAAAAAAAAATAAAATAAAACCTCAAAAAAAAACCAAAAAAAAAAAGGAAGAGCGCAAAGTTTGTACAAACCCAGGACACAGATTCCAAAAAGAATAATAATAATAATAATAACAACAACCAAAAGGAATTAAAGAGATAAATAAAGGACTGGTTACAGTTTCAGACCATAATTTAACAGGCACGGTCACCCCCTCCCCAAACAACGCTCCCAACTAACACAACGCTTCCCAAAGGACTCACGGGGGAGATCCAAACAACAAAACCCAAGGAAAATCGTGATTAAAAGCTGCTCTTCTCCCCAAATAAATAATTTAAAGGGTCTGAGAGGTCTCCCTGGCTGGGTTTGGCACCCTGGGGTGGGCAGGGGGGGCCCGGAGGGGTCGGGCTCAGCCCCCAGCCCGTGATTACCACGGGGCTGCTTTAAGGCTTCTCAGCAGCGCTTCGGGGCTGCTCCACGGATTGATTTCTTTTTTGTGGGGGTTTTTATTTTTATTTTTTCCCTCCTCTTTTTTTGTTTTTCTTTTAAGGCTCGAGGTTATTAAAAAATAAAGTGAAGTTCTCCTCCTGGCTGGTTTTGCTACGAGTTAGAAAAATAAAGCCTCTCCCATGCTGGTCCCTGCCCCAGTGCTGGGTTCCCAGGGCAGAGCACGCTGGTTTAGTTTCATTTTTAGAGCAAAAAAAGACACTTCTCTATACAAAAATACCTCTGCAAGAAAACCTAGGGCTGCTCCACTAAGTGTCATTTTTTTTTTTAGCTGTTGGAAAAATAAGAGCATTTCAAAAAAAAAAAAATCTCTAAAAAATAGGTATAAATCCCCTCAAATTGGTAACGAATCATACACAGTACATACTAAAAATATTTAAAATAGAGAATATTCCTCACAGAGGACTCCGAGCTTTCTCTTTTACCCCCCATTTTTTTCTTCTTTTTTTTTATTTTTTTTTTTTGTCTTTCTTTTAATTACTGCTATAAAAACAACAAAAAAAAAATCATTACAAAAGTCCAGAGAAGGAGCCAGCTGGGCGGGTTGGGTGGAAATCTCTGAAGCAGAGTTCAAGTCCAGTCCTTGGCAAGTCTGTCCCAAATTTTGGGGCTGGGAGCGGGTGCTGGAGGATGCTGTAGTGCAGAAGGCTCGAGGCGCTCTCTCCTCCCCGCCAGCTTCCACGTGAGTCTGTTTTTAATCATTAATTCAACTACACAATTTCAATTTCAAACACCGAACCAGTCCGAGGCCACTCGTTCTCGCTGCTTTCGCTCTCTTCCCATTATTCTTCCCATCCGAAAATTTTCATTTTTGCCGGGTTGCTGCCGTTGATTTTTTTATTATTATTATTATTTTTTTTTTTTTGAAAACTTTTTTTTTTTCCTCTCTCTCTCTTTTTTTTTTTTTTTTTAAATTTTTCTTTTGCCGGCCTTTTTCTCCCCCGCCAGCTCTCCGCTCAGGGCCGGGTGAGCTGCGTGTAGACGGGCTGCTCCCAGTGCTGCGGGCTGTGGGTCTGGGGGATGGAGGGCACCCCCGCCGTGTCTGCGATGGGCGTGTACATGGGGCGCTGCGTGGGGCTCATGTAGCTGAAGGTGGAGTAGAGCCCGCTGCCCTGCCCGGCGTGGCTGTAGTAGGAGCCCGAGGAGCCCTGGTGCTCGCCGTACTCGTACTGAGCGCGGCTGATGCTGGGGTAGGACGAGCTGTAGTGCTGCAGGTTGAAGGAGCCGTAGCCCAGCTGCTGCTGCTGCTGCTGCTGCTGCTGCTGCTGCTGCTGCGGGGAGTGCTGCTGCTGCTCGCTGTAGTGGCTGGGGCTCAGCTGCTCCGTCTTGATGTGCGTCCTTTGCTGCTGCTGCTGCTGCTGCGGGCCTTGCTCCGCGCTCAGCGCCTGCTGCTTCGACATCCACACGTGGCCGGCGGCCGGCGGCGTGCCCGCGGCGCCGCTGATGCCGTAGCTGCCCGTGTAGGTGACCTGGCCGGGCTGCCCGGGGTGCCCGTTGGGCGGCAGGTACTGGTCGAACTCGTTGACGTCGAAGGTCTCGATGTTGGAGATCACGTCGCTGCTCAGCTCGCCGATGTCCACGTCGCGGAAGTCGATGTGCGGCGGCTGCCGGCCGCCCTCGCCCAGCGAGCGGCCCTCGCGCTTCAGGTCCTGCTTGCTTGGCTGTGGGTCCGTCTTGGGGGTGGTGGGGGGCGTGGGGGGCCCCTGGGACTGGCCTGGAGGAGGAAGGAGAGGGGTGAAGGCGTGGAAGGCTCGCTGGTGCTCCGCGCGCAGCCCAGGTGCGAGGGACGCTGACCCCGGCCCCGTCAGCACCGCCCCGGGCGGGAGCTGGAGCACGGCCACGGCTTTGGGGTGGCTTTTTGGTTCATGAAAAGCGTGGGTTCGCGCTCCTCGCCCGCAGCAGGGGGGAGGTGGCTGCGGTGGCGCGCTGGGGTGAGGATTTGCGTGCCCAGGTTACGGGCATGGCTTGCGGGCAGCTCTCCCTGCTCCTCACCCCATTCCTGGCTCTTTCCCTTCCCCTCCCTCACCCAACCCCGACCTCAGCCCGGTTTGGGCCGCAGCTTTGGGCGGCTGTGCCGTGTCCCCGGAGGCTCCGGGTTACCTACCCGAGTGCTCCCCGGGCGAGTGCACCTCGCTGATGCTGGAGGAGGACTGGGGCGAGTCTGCCTGCAGCGCCTTGAAGATGGCGTTGGGGGAGATGTGGGTCTGCTCCGCGCCCTCCTCCTGCTCCGCCTGCCCGTTCTTCACAGACTTCCTCCGCCGGGGCTGGTATTTGTAGTCGGGGTGGTCCTTCTTGTGCTGCACCCGCAGCCGCTCGGCCTCCTCCACGAACGGGCGCTTCTCGCTCTCGTTCAGCAGCCTGGGGGGGGCACGGGGGGCGAGGGGTCACTTGTGGGGGGCGCCGAGCGATGACACCGCTGTTGAGCCCTCCTTTGGATCCCCCCAAAGAGCGATGCAAAGCCCCCCCCCACAGCCTGGACCCCCCCGTCCGGGACACTCGTGGGTTGTCACCCCCTTGTCCCCGGCGCTCTCTGCCTGTCGCCCCTCTGGTCCCCCGCATTCCTTCGGTGCCCAGCCCGGGGCTGCAGCGGGGTCCAGCCCTCGCCCTGCCCACCCTGCGGGCACACCTCGCTGTCCCCGGGCGCTTTGGGGACATCGCTGCCTGCCAGGGACAGATTTCAGCTCTCCAGGATCCCCCCCCGCGCTGTCCCCGAGGACGCGGTGGCCCAGGTGACTCACTCGCCTTGTGTTTTCCTGCCCTCCCCGCCTTATTCTGGCACTCGGAGGCCACCCGGCCCTGCGCCACTCACCGCCACCACCCTCCCCGCATCGCCCCGCGCTCCCTCCGGCCCGGCCCGAGCTGATGCAATCCCCAAAATCCAGCGTTTCCTCCGCTCCGGCAGCGCAAGCGAACAACGGCGGGGGCAGCCCGAGGGGCTCCGCCGGCCCCCGGCCATCGCTCGGGGCACAGAAACCACTTCCAACACCACAAAGCGAACTTTTCCCTACTTTCCCCCGCTCCTATTCCTCCTTCTCCCCCGAACAAAGTTTTGCACTCCGCGAAAAAAAGTTTTTCAGCGCCTTTTCCAGGCTCGCACCATCCTCTTCCTCGCCGCGCTCCGCATCCCGGCTCCGCACTCACCTCCAGAGCTTGCCCAGGGTCTTGCTGAGCTCGGCGTTGTGCAGGTGCGGGTACTGATCCGCCAGCTTCCTGCGGGCCGCCTGTGCCCACACCATGAAGGCGTTCATGGGTCTCTTGACGTGCGGTTTGTTCTTGCTGGAGCCGTTCACCCGCACCGGCATCGGCACCAGGGTCCAGTCGTAGCCCTTCAGCACCTGGCTCACCGCCTCCCGGATGCACACCGGGAATTTGTCCTCGTCGTTCTCCTTCTTCAGGTCCGGGTCCCCCTTGGGGAAGGTGTTCTCTTGGGGTCTGGTGTTCTCCGTGTCCGAGCCGGATCCAGAGGGGCAGGGGGACCCGGCGGAGTCATCCGACATGGTGGGGCTGGGGGCGTCGGAGATACATTTGTCCTGTTCTTCTGTCATTTTCATGAAAGGGTCGAGGAGATTCATGCGAGAAAGTGGCCGAGGGGGAACAAGGGGGCGAAAAAAAGTATTAAAAAACAAAACAAAAAAAAATTAAAAAGTTAAGCGTTAAGGGGCAGGGAAGGGTTGAAAAAGTAAAAACTCGGAGAAACGAAGTCTCCACCGGCAGCGGAGCGGAGAAGAACCGCGAGAAGCCTGCAAAAAACTTTTTTATTACTTCTCCTCAGCGAGAAAACGCTAAAAAAAAAAAAATACAAAAAAAACCAGGAAAACCAAAAAACTCCGAAACGAGGAAGGGGAAAAACTTTGGCGAGGCCGGGATAAGGAGCAGGAGGAGGAGGAGGAGGAGGAGGAGGAAGGAGCAGGGCGAGCGGCCGGGGGC